GGTAATTAATCGTGTCTCCCATAGGACTTAATTAAACCCAGACAGCGCGAAATTTAAAAAGACATATTTTTGTTTAAGCATTTGGAAAGAGAGTCGCTGAAGAAAGTTTGGAAGAATTTTCAGCAATTTAAGCAAATCTGTCCGAGAAATTCACGGCACTGGTAAGCATGTGACTTAATTTGCCTTCAAGCCTTAAGAACGACCTTTTACTAGTTCGAACTTGTTGTTTTGTTGCGAATTTAATTGCCAGAAAGAAGCGAAGGAGGGGTGATAAACTACCCGTAGGCATGTCTTCTCTTAAAAGGACCAACTACCAATTACTGATTTCAGGACCACTTACACTTTGCCGAGTGCCATGGGACTGTATTCCAATTCACTTCTCACTTCATTACACCCTTCATATTTTACTTTCTCTTAGATTGATTATAGTGAACCCAGATGACCGACTCATGGAATTCATCTGTAAGTTCTTCGGTGTTTTTGTTGTTGTTTTTTTGGAAGACAAGAGTTCCCTTCGAGATAAATAGGCCAGAGTAGTAAATTTAAATAAGGCTACTATCACACGGCATCGGATGATTTTTTGACAAGCGGTTGAAAAATTTGACCGTTCACACGTTACCGTTCAATTTTTTCGCCCTGTTCATACGTAACTTTGAACTGCTAGGCGTCTAAATTTTCGTACGGTGCGGTTATGTCCATGTGAACGGAAGTCCTATACCCCGAATTTTCAACCATCCAAAATTCGTCCGGTGCCGTGTGAACGTAGCTTATCAGTCAACAGCAATTTCGGCTTTTTTTAGGATGGGATTATTTTAGTTAAAATATAACATAACACACATTCCTGTCAATAATAAAGGTGTCGAGTACTTGAAGTGTCGAAAATATGAAATGGATTTCCAATCCTAGGAATTTTTGGGGAGATATGATTTTTGTTCTTAATTGATCCTTCCGTCTTTTGCAATCCACAGTATACCCGTGGCGCTTAGACGCGTATGCACGTTTTTTTTTCTTTCTTCAATGAATTCTTTTTCACTTTCCCACACTAAGTTCTTTGTTTATACACCAAATACGCGCCCCGGCTTTACACAGGTTTGATCACGCGGCAGGCCAATTTTTTTTCAGAACACGCTGCTTGGATGACAGGGATATATTGCTAATCCTTAGGTACTTACTTCCCGGCTACGTCTTGTATCAAACAATCCCCGCCCCCCTTCATTTCATACACCTGTCTATTAGCAGTTAAATCATAGAAAAAAGAACTCACTAGGAAAGAGACAAAAAAGGTAAGCTAATGACATTTCGAAACATCTGTTAGTCAACTGTTTAGTCAAGCGAACCCTTTTATGGGTTAAAATGGTTGAGCTAGATAGACACTGACGCGTACTTTATCATCTTTTATAGTGTACAAGCTAAAAGGTTGTTAGACTTTTTGGTCACATATCTAGACATTTCGATTGATTTTAAAAATATTCCTAAAGATCAGATGAACATTTATTTAAATTGGCCAAATAGATACGCTTCTGGAGCCTGGCGCTTAGAGTGAGAAAACGTGAGCCTAGCCCTACATGCGGAAAAACTTAGTTAGCAGGAGACCCCGTTAGCAGGAGAAACTTTTAAGACGTGGACGTCGTCATTGTGCCAAAAGTCCCTCGTACTCTACACAATCCACGAACTAAAGCGATAAAACATGATAATTACAATACATTTTTTCTTAGGTTTTGTCGTCTGTACTTTCGGATGCTGGTTTTGATAGCAAGGCATTGATAGAGGCGACACAAACTCAGACAGTAAACGATCAGTTGCGAAAAAACGGCACTGAGAGGAGAGAATCAGCACTTGCATACCATTCCACTTATACATGTCCTTACATTTTGTATAGAAAATCTCTAAAGATTTTCCGATGAAATAAATGTTGATGTATATGAAAATAAATCTCTGAAAACAGTTATAATACTGAATAACGATAAAACTAACGACCGCGAGTAAAAATAATAACAAGAAGATAAAAAACACTTTTTTCTTATGTCTCTTCCGACATTCTTTTGAACTTTAGTGTTAAATTTATTATTGTTATTGATTATTATTATTATTATTACTATTATTATTATTATCATCGAGAGCGAGACATTTTCACAGAAAACTGAACCATAACGACCCTCCCACCGCCCATCGGCACAAGGTCCTAAATAGCGAGCCACAAGACACAACATCTAGAGACAGATTCATCTTTATTTTCCCTTTTTCGTTTTGATGAGAGCTTTCAAGCCGGCTTTTGCGGAGTTCCGAGTTCCCGAGTGAATGATTTGGGGACGGGCTGAATAATATCATTGATTTGCTCTGTGACTGGGAGGATCACTTAATTGAAACTTCGCAAAAACATTAAAGATACAGTGGAACCACTATTCAGGGGACACCCTCGGGACCAAGGCGAATGTCCCCTGAATAGAGGTTAGGCTGGGGTTTGTTAAGAATTAACCAACAAATAAAATATTTAAATCTTCTGCCTCAGAATCTGCTGTAAGCTGCTTGATAATGTATATAAAAAGATCATGATTGACTTATCTCTGCGATGTTGTGTGAGATGTGTTGAATTTCCACAAGTGTAATACACCGATTTTAGTGAGATAATTCATGTTTTGAAAGCTGTTGCCATTGTGACTAGTGAAGACTTAAACTTATCAACTATTTTTGTGGTCAGTCACGTTTTGATTGCTAAGGTGTCCCTTGAATGGAGGTTAAACCTGGGGCTCGGGGCCTAGAAAAATGTCCCTTTCCCTTGAGTAGAGGTGTCCCTTCATTAGAGGTAACAAATACAAAGATAATGTGAACATTTTTCCAGGACCAAATTTTGTGTTCCCCTGAATGGACGTGTCCCTTGTATAGAGGTGTCGCAAAGGAGAGGTTCTACTGTAAAAGATAAAAGAATCTTTATGCTGAACCTAATGGCACAAACGAAGCAAATTCGTTTAATGTAAAGTTAAATGTCATAACCGAAGTTACTGCAGTACTCAAATCTGAAATTGAAGGGGTCAATACTGCAGGAAAAACATATTATCAGGGCCGCAAATAACAGTCGGTAGTCCGATTATATTCGCCTATCAGTTTGTTCCCTTCCCAACGGAATGAATGAATGAATGAAGAGTAGTGGATGAGAGGACAACAGACGTGCCCTCTTACAACACATTTTAACATGTGAACAGTAAGCTCGGACATCAGCATACAAAGGCGCCACTGGGAGTCGCTCTCAGTCCATTTGTGAGCTTACTGTACCCACAACACCGGGGTCTACGTCCCCTACACTTTTCGAACAGCGGTGTGGGTTCTTTTACGTCCCACAAGAACCAGATAAGAGTAATTGCTGTGAGACGGGACCTACGGTTTTCCGTCCTTATCCGAGAAGACTAGAAAGTCTAACCGTTTGCAAATTACAAAGGCAGCACTTTCTTCTCAGTTATTTAAAGACCCTGAGTGTTGGTTCGGCCGGGGTTCGAACCCATTGACCTCCCGCTCAACAGACCGGCGCTCTCCCAACTGAGCTAACCAGGCGACGGTTGGACAGATGACCAGACAGGTAGATCAAATACAATGTAACTTAAGTAATGTATGTCCGACCAAGTATTGATTTATCCGACTAAAACGCGGAGAGACCTGGTTGGACATATGTCCTCTTTAAAAAAAATTATTGGTTGCCATTTGTTATCGTGCTCAAGTCGATGGGGTTACTGAGGCCTGGTTCAGACGCCGTACTTTTCATGTGTCGAACCTAATTGAATAAGTTCGACTTTGGAGCGACACTGGCACGACATCTGATTCAGACGGCGCACAGTGTGTCGAGCCTAAGTTAATTATAGGTTCGACAAAAGTTCGACAGACTCTGTCGAACTTAAAGCTTTTGCCACACCACTCTAAAACTGCTGCACCAATTTGATTCAGACACCGCTCTTCGTACTTAATTCGTCAGTTAGGTTCGGCACATGAGTGGAGCGGCGTCTGAACCAGGCCTGAGTCAATGTTAATCCGGCACGAGAAAACCAGCAGACAAAGCCAAGCTCGGGATCGCTGAAATCAGAGTGAAGTGGGAGAAAATCTGAAGCCAGTGGCAAGAGTGCTACTGTACCATTTTAACAGCATTTGACTCTTTCCATACGCGACCGGGCACCTACTTGTGGCAAAAAGATGGCCAAACAATATATCCCACAGAAACCCGTGCGTGTTCGCACAAGGGTTTTCTGCATTACTCTTTTGTTTCTCCTCTAGAATGCTCCACCTTAATGTTCTATTTTTCCTATTAACATGCTCGGTCACCCCCAAAAAGTCATGACAATTAGCGGAAAATGCTCATTATTAAGAGGCTTAATTCTAGACGTTTTAAGAGGACTAACAAAAATGTGTAAGTGGTATAACAACAATGTATACAAGTTAATAGTTTTTAATAACACACTGTATTAGGGTTAAACCTAAGTTTTCATTTTCTCATAAAAAATGTTTTTATTTATTTTTATTTTTTCAGAAAAATGATTTTCCATGAAAATCCCCCTAAAATGCTCGAATAATGCTAGCAGAATGTACAACGTGTGACAACCACAAAGCCTGCTGAATGAGAATATTTTCACCTTCTAAGAGACGTTTTTCACTTTAACAATCACAAATCAAAACTTCATTCAAGCTAAAAAATGCCATTTATAGTGTACCGTGGCTGAAAAAGTCGAGAAAATGTCTTAAAAAACCATTTGAAAGGAGCGCATTAAAAACGTTCTGCTGCATTCCCTGCCCCGCTACACCCCCAATGCTCGTAGAGATTTATAGACATTACAATTTCAATTGGCCAATTCTACTAGGAAATCGATTAAAAAGATCCCGTGTATCTGCTGTAAGTATTGCTGCATTTGACCTCAACCTAGATGTATATGGCATCAAAAAGAGAGAAAAATGGTCTTCACGACCGGCAATGTGAACATTAAAAAGTAAACATTGACGAGGATTCTTTTATCAGTTTTAAATCACTCGGACTCCTTCACGAACAATTTAATTTCCTTTATCAAGACTTGACTTTCCATCGCGGTTTTCCTCACACATGGATCAGACTCCCAAAGGGACACCATCAACTCGATCCATTTTGCAGGAGGAGAGTAGCGTCTGCCTTTGAGTTCTTGTTTCTTCACCTCTATTTGTCGGGTAACCTCGTCTTGACTCCTGGAGATCCATTCATAAGGAAATCTTTCACCAAACCACATTTCCCACATCATCAATCCGAAGCTGTACATGTCCACCTTGGTGTCGTAGATTTTCTTTTCGGGGCTTATCTCTGGAGCCATGTACAGTGGTGTGCCACAGTATGTTCCTGTGATCTGGTTTTTAATGGTGGCCAGCCCCAAGTCTGCCACTTTGATTTGCTCGTCTTTGGTTATCTATAAGTGAGCGTTAAGCAACAATCAGGCAAAAATAATTTTTATGCAAATTGAAATGGATAAATGTTAGTGGCTCTCATTGCAGTTTGATGGAAAAATTGACCCCCGATGGAACATGACTTTGGGTGGTAGATTCAGGCCTGGTAAACTTTCCCTTGTAGCTCGCCGGTGCCGCTGAGTGCACTCCGTGTAGGACTCCACTACAATTTACAATATTGCGCCACAAACTAGGTAAAAGCAACTCACTGAACAAAACGAGCACAAGGTCTATTTCACTAGCAGCATTTTAAACGACATCTTTGACATAAAGATTCAGTAAAAAAACCTACCTACATTGGCAGTTATAATTTATTGTTGAAACACTTCCCGCCCAAGCAAACCCTTGAAACCAATTCAACATGGAGGGGAGGAGAGGGAAGCGATACCCGTTTTCGTGAAACCGCTTATTATTATGACCGTATTGAGGTCAGCTCTACAACACGGTTTCAGTGTAAAAAAGGAGCACTGTACACTGGAAGGCCAGTCGGTGATTGCGTCCACGGTTTGACCTTATAAGGAAGAAGTAACTGAAATGGCTTACTAAGACATTATCAAGCTTGAGATCCCGATGAACGATTTTCTTGCTGTGAATGAATTTCAGGGCATCTAAAATGTCACTGCCCCATTGGCATGTGTTAACTGCTGCGCTCTTTGTCTCCCACGGTACATTTTTCTTGTCTTTGAAGATGTGATTCTTGAGACTTGCATTGCACAACTCGAAGACGAGGGCCAAGAAACTTAGCTGGTCGTTGTGGACATCCATAACTACTCCATAGAACGCCACTATATGGTTGTGTTTTAGTTGCCTGCAAAAAATTATATTTTTATCTCCCTTAACTTCGAGGTAAACTTAATAAAAGGTAAATGTGATCATTTATCAAACTTGTTTTAGAAGCAACCCAATAGTCACACTTGATAATTCTTACGTGGTGCAGAAACTACTTTTACAAGGAACGAACTTGCCATTCTCCCCAGAAAGCTTAGTTCTATTTTAAGTCTTAAAACAAAATCGAACATTAGGTGGCTGGCAGTCAAAAAGGTAGGAATGTTGGCGTTTGAGAACACGAAGGACAGCCTCGATTGCCATTTCTCCATTCTAGCCTTTTCGTAACGCCTGCTAATGCTAGGGGTGGCGAATGGTACCTCGAAAACGTGGGTCTCGGAAAATTTTGGCAGGATCTCGAAATCTCGGAAGCGTTTTTGATAAGTCTCGAAGTATCGTTTCTGCATGGTTTGTTTTTACTTTTATGAGTCTCAAAACTTTTTACCAAAGAGTCTCGGGCTCGGATTTTCTAACTAGGATCTCGGCGTCTCGGCGAGTCTCGGATTTTACCATTCGCCACCCCTAATGCTTTGTTGCACAGGCATGTTGATTCGGGTACGAAGAAGGTTTTCAACTGAAGAAACTCACTTACATTAGTATATCTGCTTCTTCTAGGAAGGAAGAAACGTTTGACGCCTGAGGAGTGTCGTTTAGCTTTTTGACAGCTACTTCTCTTCTTTTATGCCCCGGAAGACTTAGCTTTCCCTTGTAAACCTCGCCATAAGTACCTTTTCCAAGTTTATTTCTTGGTCTCTCGTTGTATTGAAGATTCCTTCTGTCGATTGCGTAGGAAGGGGACATCACACTTATGCCATGTTGAATGGCGTCAATGGTTAGGTCTTGACTTATTTCCTCAAGCTTTGCGTACAAAGGACTAAGTTTCTCGACAGTTCCTTTTCGTGTTTCTTCATTTTCGCTTTTGGTGAGATCCTTGCATTTCCTCTCATATTTTTCAACCAGCTTCTGATAGCAACTATTGATACTAAATATGCGTTTCTTCTCATCCGCGAATTCTAGCGAAACTAGATTGGAAATTCCGTTCTCAATGTTTTCCTGAAGGAACTGTTTGGATAGATCTGTCAGGACTTCGCAGGAATTGCTCTTCAAATGTCTTTCGTTCCGGATTTTGTCGACAGCCAAATACCCAATTACCGGCGCAGATAAAACACCTACAGCCAAACCAATGGGGAACAGAACTGGCATGAAAACGACGCTGGTCAGGAAGAGGAATTTCTTGACTCTTGCATCCAGGGGAGGACGCAATTTATCAGGACCGACTTCAAATTGCAATAATACTTCGTCCGCGGATTCGCCAACAAGGACCTGATCGATGTCTCGTACGTCTTTTCAAATTCGAAGAATCCTCGACGAAACCTCTCCTCAAGGTCAGCGCGAGCCTTAACGAATAATTGTTCCTCCTTTTCCAGAGTCTGGAGAAATTTTTCCAACCTTTGCTCAACACACTGGATGTAAATCTTTTTCAGTTTTTCTACATTCCCCCGTACGTTGTCGTCGATTTCTGGCAGATCCTTTTCTTCCCATGTACAAAAAGCGCTACTTACTTCGTCCCGTAGCAAATAGGATTTGACTTGCTGAGAAATATTACTCAAGTGCTTGGAGAGTGCTTCTTCAGTTTCCTTTATGAAAGATCCTTGTCTGAGTTTATCCAGCTTTACTTCAACGTCTTTTTTAGCTTTGAGGCGATCTTCTCGATCTCGTTTTGCTTCGTTAACTTCAGCTTTCACCTGATCCGATAATGACTTGAGACAGCCACTTATCATTCTAGTAAATTAAGCGAGAGAGAAAAAAAAACTAGTTAGCTCCTTCTTAAAATACGGTGAAATCTCCTAGTAAAATGGACCCGATGTTGAGTCTGTTAATCGGACATGAATCTGTAAGTCTACCATACATCCTCCAATATTTTCTGTAATAGACACTAATATAACAAGGGTTCAGTGAGAGAATATGTCCGCTTAAAAAGGTAACGAAATTTGTTGGAGAGCGGTTGGAGAGCAATAGCCCATCAAAATTTTAAGTCTGTATTTGAAGGCACGTTTTACAATTTCAAATGAATATGCGTATTGTGCGTACTCGAATGGATTTTTTTTTGCAAAAAGTACAAAAGAATATATCGTCTATTTAAGTTGTCTGAAACAACTTAAATAGACTGTGTATGAATACGAATAGAAGGGTATTATCCTTTCCTCAATAAACTCTAGAAAACGTTTATAAAAGTTCTGAAAAAGTCTCCTTTTTGCTACTGTACGGAAATCACTTTTGCTCTTCAAAAGATGTACCTTAAAAAAAAACGTAAATGAGGCCGATCGGGAGCCCGGGATGGGAAATTGTCTCCTTCTGCGTGCCCGGGGGTGGGAATAGACCACCAGGAAAGAAAAAAAAGGCAAATCCCTTGGGTAGGCCCGGGGGGCATGGTATACGGACGGCTGTTACTATGGTATAGGCATAGCATGGCATGTCCCCTTGGTGACCGTATAAAGCGGGTTCCATGCACTGTGGTGAAAAACTGTTTTAAACGACTTTGCCGGTCTGTGCGGTCGGTACCTTCAGCTTATTGCCACAATATTATAGCCAGCTTTCTGCAGAAAATGTATATCTCCCAAAACATGGATCGTTCAGGAAACATATCAAAGCATAAATCATCTTTTTTTGTTGTTTTTTTTCCACTTGACAGCTATATAATATAAGACGAGTGTAGGTCTTCATTATAGGAGGCTAATGGGGATGTGCCGCTGGATGGGGTCGCATTTTCACGACTGGATTGACTGTAATGGGGTCTCCTTTTCAATAGAGTTACTGGAAATGGGGTCGCAAGACAGACAGTTCTTCATTCATATTTTTTGTTAGCAAACGTACCAGAATGTTTGTACTGCAGATGAAAAGAAAAGTGTTCTTTATTCAATCTAAAAAACGGGTCAATTCATAAAAATAGAAAGTGACTAAGTTGGGATCGCGAAAATTACGTACTTGCTTAAAAGTGACTAAGATGAAGTCTATAATTGGCCACAGAATAGACTATAATGGGGTAGGGGCTCTGAGAGGCCAGCTGCACATACCGGCAAAATTAACCCAAGTGACCCCCCCGGGGTCTTCGGACGCACTTTCCTTGACGTGTGACTGATAAATAGATAATATTCAAGAGCATAATATTCGGGATCCTATCCTGAAAGATAATGAACCCAGAAGACTTTGCAAGTTCTGATTTTCCGTACGATGATGTTGCATGGAAACTACTGTAGCAGTAGTGACAAAGGAGCTTTCGTATTTAAAAGCACTCTCCTCAGGTGGTCAAGTTACCTGTAGAAGTGATCAGTTTTCTTCTCGAGACAAATAGGAAGAAGGCGTCGTAGTCCATTTATTAGACTGCTAAACCATCACTCATCACCAAACTTCTGCTGGATTTGGGCTGCAGTGTTTGACATTTCAATGACCTGGAATTCCTCATTTAGGGTGGGGATTTCCTTTTTAAGTTTGCAGATGATTTCATTTTAATTTTTTCTTTGTCTGACGGATTGGTCTTTGTTTGCCTTTCGACGTCGTCCCACTTGTTGCACACGAACAAAGCAGACTCAGAAGTGAGGCCGTTGCATTTGTCCCACCATAGAGTTTTTTTCCATTATTCACAATACGCATAAGCTAAAAAAAAAATAACCAAAATCATTGTATCTATTAAGTTTACGGTCTATCAATGGTGGGGTAAGACAGAACACTGAAAGATTACCTTGTTTCGGCAAGGTCATCTGTCTTAGTTTGCGAGAAAGCTTTTAAGGTTTTACGCAAACTTTAAAAAGTTGGAAAACACTACCTTGTCGCTCCGTTTGTTCAGTGACTCGTTTTCCTAAAATGCATGTATTCCTAAGTTTTTTGAAATGTTGGTCCAAATATACGGGGAAGCTTCCCATCGGTGCATCTGGGAATTTTCCGTTTATTGAAAGTAACCAAAGTTCGTTGAAATGCAAATGAAACGCAGGTATGATCAACGACAATGAACCAGCTAATATAAGACTTTAATAAAGCTGACGTAAGAGTAAGGGACTCCAAAAACGTTCCTTACTAAGGTTCTTAAAACGAACCTGAATTAAGCGCATGTCACTATGAAATGGCTGCTATGTTCAACTTACCCTATCGTCTTGCATTCCTCCGGCATTCGGACTGTTGATTACATAGATAAAGGCAAAAAGCCAGCAAATATTCCAAAGGCAATTTTATAGACTTGCTTCGAATCGCCAATGCCCGGACTGTCTACAATGACCACCTCCTGCAAGAGAATGAAAGATCCTCCACGCAGACGTTCTTAGGGGTTTGTCCAGCGTTCCCGCCCCACCAGTGGGACAGGAACGCGTGACGAACCCTAATAACTTTGGGAGGCTAGAGATTTAGAAGACCATGACCATGTTATATACACAACTATAAGCTGAAAGTGACAGCACACCAGGAGATCTTTTTCTCGTAGTCTTTAGCGCTCAGGTTCATGTCGGATCTAGGATAGACTACCTTGCCCGTATCAATGAAGTCGATGTTATTATGGCTATCTCCTTGATCTGCTGGCTGTCCATTACTACCCTTTAGGACGTGAGGCTCACTAGAATCATCTTAGTAATCCAGTAAGCTAGGACACGTCACGGAAGAAAAGTCAGTGTAGGTACAGATAGGGCGACGGGATAAAAGAAACATCCAACTGGCACTGACAGTCAGAAAAACCACAGAAGACAAAATGAAAACCGCTCTTTCAGCTTCTATCTACAGTCGGTGATGATGTAGACGAGACTGAAGAACTGATGAGCCACAGCAGAAGATGCTCAATTCCCCAAGTAAAACACTGAAGCAACTCAAGAAGTGAGGTAATCTGCAATAAGCCCGAGCTCTCGGTAACGGCAAAATGTGTCCGAATGAGAAAAAGAAAATAAACAGTTATGTACATCTATGTCTCATGAAGGTAAAAGCCATACCACCTATCCTCGTAAAAATACCAAAGCCACCAAAAACGTACAGAAAGATTTTAACCATAATGATTGATTATCTTTTAAATTACCTTCAACAGTGAATTAGGTGTCTTGATTTCAATTTTTACACCAGTCTTCATCATTCGTCTGTTTTTCGATGAATTGCTTTAAGGTGTCAGACTTGATATCCCTAGCGTACGGGATGTTTTTTCTTCATTCCAAATGTAGAACTGTTTCAGCTTGGCTCCATAAGATATTTCACAGATAGTCAGAGTATTCTGTAGGACGCCAGTCGGAAGAACTTGTTCATTTAAAAAGGTTTATCAGGCTGCTTTTTCCTGCGCTGGTCTCCCTGTTTAAGATAAAGTTGAGTCACTTTACTCAGTAACTGTTGTGGTCTTATCACCATCATCATCATCATCATCATTATCATCATCATCAAAATAATAATAACAAGGTGCAAAAAACGCATTGTATAACGCATGGAAGTCTCATTGCTCTTTTACAATAAGTTACTTACCTAATCTAACTATAAACATGGTTAAAATAAACGTGTTTAACTGGATTTACAGTGCGACCA